TTTAGACCCTAAAGAATCATATTAGCTTGTACAAAAATGGCATTATATGACCCCTTTAATAGGTTACAGCTCAGTCTGACATCATTATGAATTATGATTTGTCATGTAGCCAGCACTAGTGAACGAGGAAGATTATGCAGACATGTACTGATCTGCAAGACGTTTTATTTTATTACCAAAACTTGTCATACACTGATAACTATTACTACTGATAATTACTGATTTATTCAAGTGTGCAAACAAGCGAAAATAACAAAATATACCATACAGAATTGAGGAAAAACAAAGTGTGTTTTAACAAATATAAACAAACAATATAAAAACAGATGTCACTTAGGGCAAAACGTGTTAACATTTTAAGAGGAACACTATGCAAACATACTAGATTAACATAATTATTAACATCATTTGAAACTGCTACGACAGCGGGGAGGATGCGTGGGCCTTAATTTGCATTATTTTAAAGTTATGTTCAGTTTTTGCCTAAAACCTACCAAGTTCAAACAGTAAAACACAAATGTGGACATGTCCACATTCAAGCATTTCATACAATGGGCTTAAACAGCTCACCCTTTACAACAGATTTAGTTCACAAACAACTGACAGTCATGACCTAAATATGATTCTCATTTATAGTAATAAACCCTAAAATTCAGCATTAGTAACTTCGAGGATCTCCCGTTCTTGGCTCATTCTTAGTCAGACTTTTGAATTCAGTGAATTGTTTACCGGAGACTTAATCTGACCGGATCATTTGAATCAGTGAGTTGCTGACTCGAGAACAGATGCAATCGGATAGGTCCAATTCACAGATGAATTCACAGTAGGGATGTCCCGATCCGATCACGCGATCGGAAATCGGGCCCGATCATGTGGTTTCAGACTCGATCGGAATCGGACGTTACCTCCCGATCAGGACTCGGATATATGTAAATTAGGGGTGTAACAGTACATGTATTCGTAATTATTGAACCGTTTCGGTACGAGGCTTCCGGTTCGGTACGCATACAAACCGAACGATTCCTAGGACCATTTTTCCTGCAGACAAAATCCGCGCTGGCGCAATCACCACAACGTTGCGCAACATCAAATGGCAAACGTAATGAAAGCGGAACGAAACTGCGATACTCGTTATATTGTGCTTAACGGACCATTTATCAGTTCGGACCAGCAACATCTGTGCAGCGCGAGATCAAGCGACACTGTGCTAAGAGATCCAGTGAAGAAAACATTTGAATTCGCCACTGAAGTAATAACATCGCTGCGAGATCTAGTGAGAAGCATTCAAATTTCTCCGTTATTAACCGTAGATCTCTATTAGATCAAACAGTGCTGACGTGGGAACCAGGAGAAACATGTGCCGTGAATGAACATGGATTTAATGTTGCACTTCAAAACTCAAATATTATATAAATATATATTTAAATGTTATTTTTAATGTGATTACCAAAACATTATTTGTTCATCCTTCAAAGATTACCCCCATTTATAAACCTGAAAGTTTCAAGATGTAGGAAAACTCAAACTTATTTAAAAATAGCTTTTCTTTTAATAAATAGGAAATTTCTCTGGCATTTCTTTTTGCTGTATCGTACCGCAAATTTTGTGCACTGTTACACCCCTAATGTATATATATTCCTTATATTTTTTTATACACTTTTAAAACATTTTTATTTTTTGTTTACATGCCTGCCGGGTATTTTAAGTTGAGGTGCTATTTGTTTATATATTAGACTTTTTCTATATTTAGCCTACTGTTGCACTAAAGTCTAAAAGTGAAGATTTTATGTTATTTATTACTTGATTGTTCAAGCTACCTCACAGAAGTGCTCTGTTTGTTAACAGAGTTGTGTTGAATGTTAAAATAAGGTGAATTAAATAAAAAATAAGGAACATCCTGGATCTGTTTTTTCTCTCTTCTTTATTCTTTTTTTTATGTATTATATAAGTATCGGATCGGGACTCGTATCGGTAGATACTCAAAATCAAATCGAGGGCAAAAAAACCTGATCGGGACATCCCTAATTCACAGTGTGCTTTGCGAACCAATTTAACAGGTTAACTGAAAAGAATCAGCTTGTTCACAAATCTGACACCGCTACTGCATCTCGGAGAGGGTAACAAATTCTTCAGTTCAAAATAACGAGCAACAACATGTTTTTATGAAATGTAGTGGAGTAAAAAGTATGATATTACAATTTGGAATTTAGAGAAGTAGAAGTAAAAGTTTCCCAAAATCAAATACTCTGATAAAGTACAGATGCTTGAAAAACATACTTAAGTACAGTAACAAAGTAAAAATGTAGCTGCAAGCAACGATTACGGGCTCAAGACCCGGCGCTACCGCCACCCCGATGGCTTTAGGAAAACTGTGCAAGACGGGCAATAAGCATTTAAAGCGAGTAAATATAAAAGGACTATGTCAAACTCATTTGAATATGCCACATTTACTACAGCCAGCTGGTGCCACTATGACCACAAACAACAATAGCCACATCCATGAGGTTAATTCAATTTAGATGAATTTCATGTCATAGGTCAGTTTCAAATGAGTGTTAAGTTATTGTTTGCAAGTCCAGAAGTATTTATCTTAAGGTCTTTTTATATTTTTATTTACCTAATTATTAAACTTATTATATAAAACTATGTAATTGCACTATAAATTAATACCATATGGGAGGGGTGGAGCATTGTCTATGGTTAACATCATAAACCATAAAATTGGTGTAAAAAATGTACAGTTCAACTGCAGGTTTTGACAAAAACAAAGTTTTCTAAAATGATATCCCTCACATTTCAGTCTTTAAACCTTTTTGAAGAAAAGGGATGAGTCAACAATAAAAGATATTTAAATTATGATTATATTTCAAATATATGCGATATGATATACATGTTTAGTAGGGATGTGCAAGACTAGTCAACTAAACGGAACAGCTGCTACTAGTCGACACCGAAAACTGAGTTTTCGACACTGAAAACAAGTCAACACAGGAAAGAAATACACAAGATTTTACTGTTCAAATGACTGTCGTTACGGTTACGGTGAAGAGCAGGGCGCGAGCCGTGGAAACGGAATGAGGCCGGTGGCACGAGTGTTAATGAACATCACTGCACGCTACACCATTCTGAAGTCGCAAGAGCTCCAAAGGATAAAAGGAGGAGTAACGACAGTGAAAGACGAGAGAAGACCAGGCCTGGGACATTTACGTTGCGTTTTGTCTATGTATGGGCAGCAGTCGGCTTTGAAGCACCTGCCGTTTACTTTTGTTTTATTTATTATAAAACTTCCATTTACCGTTCACCGGTTCCCCATTCTTCTCTAAGCCTTGAACATTGTTACATATATATTTAAAAGCATTTTAAATTGCACATTAAAATAAAACACTTCAAAAAATAATTACCAATACCTTAAGTAGGGGCCTAATCTTTTTATTTTACCTCGGATCACATGCGTCACATAAATGACAGCTCAAAAGACAACTGAGGTGCGAGAGTATTTTAAATTAGAAATAAAACGGAAAAGTTTTATGTAAGCGGTGCCATTTCAAACTGCCATAATTCCACTAGAGCCAAGCGTAATCATATTCAGCACATGCACATAGGTGAGATAGCCAAAGCAAGCAAATGCCCATCGCGTATTCACTTGAACACTGAAAAAATAACTGAGCTTAAGAATCAGAATGAGCTTTATTCGCCAAGTGTGTGGCGTTTAGCTGCATTTTTTTTATTGCCCACACTGCCGGCCCATAGAACCGCTTGCGGGAAAGTTATGAAATTTGGCACACTCATAGAGGACAGTCTAAACTGTCACCATAGCAAACTTGGAGTCTAACTCAACCCTCTAGCACCACCAACTGTCCAAAGTTGCACTCACGGTTATGCTAATAACTTTAGAACTGTAAGGGATAGAAACAAAATAATTTTTTCCTCGGCTCAAGACGATTGACATGACGTCATTTTCCATCAGAAACTTTTTTCCGCCATATTGAACTCCTCCTAGGCCGTTGCTTTAATTTTCACGAAAATTGAGCCAGATCATCTTCAGATCTTTCTAAAAACTTTTTTTTTTAAAGTTGATTCGTCTACCCGTTCTCGAATAACACGCAAAAGAATTTGACAAAATTGAATCGTATCATCTTCAGACCGTCCCGACAAAAAGTTATGGATTTCGTGTCGATAGATGAAACCATTTTCAAACAGCACAGCAACAAAGTTGAGGCATGATGCCAAAATTACTCTTGATCACTGCAGTGCTTTGGCATATTGACACCCAACTTTGCATGCGTTATTATCACCTTATTCTGATCACACCACATCAGTTTCATAACAGCACCACCTATTGGTCAAAAGTGATAAACCATTAAATCACATTACTAATGATTGTATTTGATTTCAGGCATCTTGCCTAAAATCATCTTAATATGCCTTTATAATTGCTCATTGTTACGGTTGCTTGCATAACTTATTGTGCCTTCCTTGTGACTTAATTGCTGCTTGCAGCTATATTTATTATTATTATTATTATCAGTAGAGAGGGAGCACAATTAATGTGGAGATCTGGGTCACAAAAAATAGATTTGGGCCACTTATGCCTGCAGTGTAAACGCAGCCTTTAACACCCCGGTATAAACTGTGGCGCTTTCAAAATGTTACATTTCGAAACCTAACAATTCTGGGTCAACCAATAGTTTGGGGTGAGACAATGTTAACTTAAAAAAAAAAAAAAAAGAAAGAAAGGGAGCTGGGCTAGTGCTGCAGTAATAACACACCACTTTAAAAAGGACAGGTCCTTTAGAGAAGTTTTCAGAGAAATTACATCAAGATGCAGTAATATGTGTTAAAACAGGAAACCCTCATATTTTAGTAATTACTAATTAGTTTACTAATTAGAAGTGCAAATCCAAACCCCCCACCCAAAAATAAATAAGCTTGTATAATTTTATGATATAAATGGAGACATATTAGAGAGAGAAAAGCAGAATTTCAAAGATGTGGCATACCTAGTAAGGGTGTACTCCCTGAGTCCTGAGTGCAGGTTCATGGCAGAAAATGTACCTATACAACCCCTTAACCGCTTGTCCCGGCCGATTTTCCAAGTGACAAACAGTGGGCTGTTGGAAAAGAAAAAAAACACCTATTAGCATTAGTACAATCAGGACTTACACAAGTGACCATAAAGTAGGACATTAAGTGTGAACATTCTGCAAACAATGTATACCAACAAAACAAATTCTAATTCTAGAATCACAGAGGAAAGTAAAACTAGGGCTGGGCGATATGGGCAAAAAAATGTATCACGATAATTTTTTTTATATCAGTCGATATCGATAATTATCACGATAAATGTCAAATCTTTCAAGTTTAAAGGCTCCTAAGTGAAAGTTGTATAAACCAGAGCGTTGTGGTTTTACAAATCTGAGGTAGAACATTCAAACATTTGTCATTTTTCCTTAACAAAATAAATATCTGAAAAGAAAAATATTTCTTCAGCACAGTTTGCAGTGCAGGCTGCAATATTCAAATTACATGTTTTGTCTCGAAATGCATATTTGACAGTGAGTTGACAGTAAATCTACATCCTGACTCAAGCTAATGCTACTATGTTAAATTTATGTTCATTAACAAAAACCGTAACATCTGTTTGTTTTTTTGTTTGTTTTTAATTTAAGGACCACATTTTTATTTGGTAAAATGTAATATTCTGACTGTTTGAGTTTTATTAAAATTAACCATTGGTCATCCAGTATTATGCATTTAGATCATGATAACCACAGATAAAGCCAGGTACAGCCTATAGCACCTCACTATCATGGCAAAATGTAACTTTATGGTTTCTATGGTATTTGTATGAAAAACAGTAGCTTAACAGTTAAATACATTATACTGTAATTATATTCCATTAGTCATTTAATACATTGTTAATAATATTATACAATTCAATATGTATATCCCACATTTCATGGTGCAGGTACTAGGCTAACCTTACAGTAAATCCATTGTAGGCTAAATGGATTCAGTATCAATTCAGATTCTGACTGTTTCGCTGCCAAGTGTTTCTCCTGTTTGTCAGCGGTGTTTCATCTGCCTTTAAACTGATTTAAAGTGGACATTTGTGTTCTTCGCTGAACTTAAGCGCTTCTCACTGGATCTCGTGAGCGAGACGATCAGAGTAAACGCGTCTGCTCAGACTGCTCTAGTGAGCTCGCGCTGCCGTTTGGACTTTGAGCCGAGCGGATAAACGGTCCGTGTGGCGCGCGGTTCAAATGAGGTTCCGCTTTTGGCGCATACACATTATCGAACATTTATCGACCTCTTGATATCGTTTTATCGAGAAAAATTATATCGCGATAATTATCGTTATCGTTTTATCGCCCAGCCCTAAGTAAAACTAATCAGGCCTAATAATTTAAAAGCCAGAGTCTGTTCAGCTTCCACTAAAATCACATACAAAAGGGCTTTGCACCCACAAATAGGATTGAGATCCAAATCTGTACAAACAGATGACACTTGACCAATTCTTGCTTAATACGTTACCAAGATACCAAGGAGATAGAAAGAGACATTTGATCAAATACAGAGCACACTGAATTAAAGGTGCAGTAAGCGATTTCTGAGAAATGCTTTTGAAAAATAAATCAACACTAGGGCTGTGCCGGTAAACTTGACAACCGTACCACCGTGATTGTAAAGGACCCCCGCGGTGACTGAGTAGCACCGGTGGTGGTCCGCCAAAAAAATTTTTTCTCTATGTGAATGCTGTTTTACATGAATATCATGACAGGGGTGAAGCACAAAGCTTTGTTTACAAAATAAATAATAGGTTAGCAATTAAATGTTACATCGCAGCCAAACGTTTGGATTCGTGTCGAATGAGAGAGTTGTGCGTGAGCATCAATTTAAGCTTTGTCGGCTTTGTATTCTGTTTTACGATCTAGTCACGTTTATCAGCGAATTTAACACTATTCCATTAGTTATTCCACTGGACATGGAATCTCGTTTCTTTTCCCAAATCTTCACTCACGTCTCACCCATTTTCGCAGGGGATTATAAACGTTTCTTCCTTTGATTCGCTTTAAAGTAGGCCTAATATATTCACATTCTTTACTGTGGGGTAAAGTAGAAAAACGCTGTAGCAAAGATAGCCTACCTTTTTACTTGCATGGCAAATTCTTTTTAACACCGTTTGTGCTTGTTATTATAGTTGGTAAGGCGCGTCAAGTTTATTTGTAAAGCGCGTTTCACACGCACGGGTGATTTTAGTTTCGCTTTCTCTCGCAGCACAAAATCAAACATAGCTTAAATGTCTTGCCCTTGTGGAAGATAAAACTCAGCGCCTTTTGGACAAAAATGTCCCCATTGAAACCCATTAAAACTGCACCTTTTAATCCCAGGGGCATTTAACTATAAAATAATGCAATCTTTGTTAAGAGGCTTTCATTCTGTTGGCAAGGCTTCAAAATTTAAATTTTTACTATTGTTTACCAGATGGTGCCATTTTTCCAGGTTTGGCCTATAAAACAAATAATCGCTTTATTCCTGTTTTCTGCTTCAGCATATTATAGAGCCAATTAAATAAATTGTGCAACGTTAATTATATGGGTGTGTTGGTATGGATGTCTGAGTGTGGTTTGTATGTGTGTAATAAAAAGAATGTGTGTGTGTGTGTGTGTGTTTGTGTGCTTGTAATATTTGAGAGAGAAAAACTCAACTGTAAATCTAAAATCCAATTACTGTGTGCACCAGTGGAGTTTTGCTGGCACCCAATGGGGAAAATGTGTTACTGCGCCCAAACAAACTCTTACCAAAAGCTAATTTTTTGAGATTTTGGAACACAACTTGTTTAGATTTATGGCTTTGAATTTATATCAGTTCTAGAGTTCAACATGTTTCATACAATATATATTTTGTATAAAATAACGATCATAATGTTGATAAATAATTTTCTAAAATTTAAACTATACTAGGGCTGCAACAAACGATTATTTTGATAATCGATTAATCTAACGATTATTAGAACGATTAATCGACTAATCGTCGATTATTTCGCAGACTAATCAGTAAGTTTGGAACGATTATTCAGCTTTTCCAATTAGTTAAAACATTGAGTTATACATATTCTAACTATAATATAAAAAAAGAAAATCACTTCAGCTTTTGAAATAGTTGTTTTAATGAACTTTGAGCCAACTAAACAGGTCATTCTCTTTAAGTTTTCAGATTTCGGTCCAACTCAAATCACACACAAATGCTCTCTAAGCATTGTTTAATAGGCCCACTGCTTTTCTTAGAACTGAAACAGAAAAAGGGACATTTACTTCAGGACACAAAGAATGGTAAAATATTAATCTGCAAACAATTATTATAAGTATAAAATTACAATCTTTTTTTACATGACAATTGAGCTGACAGAGACGTTCTCATTCACCTTTTAATTTATAGTATGATAAAGTAACTGCCATGATATTCTTCCTATATCATTGGAAGGATATAACATCTCGTTTTGTAAGTCTTCATGATTATTGAACAAAATACAGGCAAGTGATAAGACTATAATAATACCTAATATACTAATAGTGTTACAATAATAAAAACAGCCCTGACTCCTATGCTCGATCAAGCTTTATTCTATGCAAAATAAGTCATCACATTACTGTAATTATATTACTATTGATAATATTATTACTATTATTAGTAGTATTGCATTCTCTAATAAAGAGAGATTTACCGCTGGTTAGTAAGCTCCAGCTGGAGAACACTCACTTCTCACCGGCTCCTCTTTTGCCGGGATGTTTCCTCTTGCACTCCAACATGCATGTTGTGCTTTTTCACGGGAGAAAAGCAAGTTCTGCTTTGCATGTATTGCACACGACAGCATTCTTGATTTGAAGTTTTGTGAAACTTTCCCAAACCTAAACCTTGCTAGTTCGGATTCGTTTGCACTGTCATAATTCGCGCTGTGTTTTCTTCTACCGCAATAGCATTTGTAAGGGCTGCACTACACTCTAGCGCTACAGCGGCGTAGCGGTCAAATGGCGATATTGCAGGCCCTTACATTAGGTCACGTGAGATCAAACGACTACCCGACAACAAAGATATTTGTCGACAAATTTTTATTGTCGACATTGTCGACAACGACGACTAATCGTTGCAGCCCTACTCTATACTAATTTTTGGTTTCACTTTTTTCACTTGTTTAACTTCAGCAATAATCTGCCAAGGGTCCTCTTTAAAATGAGACCAAACTTAAAGGTCCCCTGACATGAAATTTTCACTTTTTGAGGTTTTTTAACATTAATATTAGTTCCCCTAGCCTGTATTTGGTCCCCTCGTGTCTAGCATTTTCAATCGGTGTAAACCGAGCTTTGGCTCGTCATAACGAGGAAAGGTTACCTCCCCTTTCTCTGCTTTGCCCGCCCGGAGAATTTGGCTCGCCCATGAGAAAACAAGCTAGGAACAGGAAGTACGAACGCACCGGCGCAATTTTAGTTTTTAGCTCATCACGGCAACATTTTATGTGATGGGAATAGATCTAAATACTTAAACTTCTCACGATTCGTTAATCTCGATAGCTGTAATAGTAAAAACGTATAATAGCTGTAGTAAAAGTATTCGAGAAAGTTTCGCATGTAATACATAGCTATTTCATATGCAAGCATGTCAGCCAATCACAGCAGTGGCTGGCTACACTGAATCCCACAGCAGACACGCCCCTTCAAACAGAGCGTTCAAATCAGAGGCTAAAATCAGGCTAGGAAAATTGCCTTTTATTTCTATATTATGACTATTTTTGATCTAAAAAACATACTAACATTATAAGGGCAACCCAGGAAACATTATAAAATAATAAAATAACCCCATGTCAGGGGACCTTTAAGTCTTTGCTCCCCCAAGCCTAACATTTTTATGACAGTTTTTTGACATGGGCATTTTTGTCCACTTTGGAGCTATGTGTACATTTATTTATTTTTTGTTAATGCTAACTGCATGAATTTTGGCACAGGTGTGTATTTTTATTGTAATTTTACTATTTAACCCCATTTCCTTTGAAAAATCTTTTTTGCACTGGAACGAAATGGGGAAAATCTGTTAATACGCACAAACAAAATCTTAC